GGGCTTGCGGCGGCGGGCGGAAGGAGGCGGCGATGGCGCGCGGCGGCAGCAAGGTATCGGGTCCGCCGCGGTCCCACAAGCCCCCGCGCCGGAGGTGGGGGTGCCCACCGCCTGTGGTCACGGGGGGCCGCTCCGGATTCACCCGGGGTGTGTGTATATGCGTGTGTGCTTAGGCTCATCCGGATTAAGGCCCCCTCGGAGCTCTGTGTGTAAACGGGTCTCGGCCAGGGGCAGCCCATTCCGGATTAATTCTGTGTGTGTTCAGCGGGTCTCGGTGTGTTCAGTTGCTGCTTTGGTTAATCTGGATTATAGCCCCCTTGGAGGTTTGTGTGTGAACCAGTCACAGCCTGGACTAGTCCACTCCAGATTAACCCTGTGTGTTGAGTTGCTGCTGTGGCTAATCCGGATTAGCGCCCCCTTGGAGCCTCGTGTGTAAACAGTCATGCGGCCCATTCTAGATTAATCCTGTGTGTGTTCAGCGGGTCTCGGCGGGGGGCAGCCCACTCCAGATTGACTCCGCGTGAGTTCAGTTGCTGCTTTGGCTAATCCGGTTTAGCGCCGCCTTGCAGGCCTGTGTGTGAACCGTTCACAGCCTGGACTAACCCGCTCCAGATTAACCCCATCTGCGTTCAATTTCTGCTTTGGCTAATACACATCAGCGCCCCCTCGGAGCCCCAAATGTGAACGGGTTTCGCTCCAGATTAAACGGGGCGTGAGTTCAGTTGCCTCTTCGGCTCATCTGGATTAACACCCCCGCGGAGCCTCGCGTGTGAACCGGTCACGCCCCGGCCTAGCCCGCTCCAGATTAAACTGGTGTGCGTTCAGTTGCTGCTTCGGCTCGTCCAGATCAGCACCCCCTCGGAGACTCGTGTGTGAACAGGTGACGCCCCGGGCTCACCCACTCTGGATTAGCGCAGCACGCGTGTCCAGCCGCCAGTCCCTTTAAGCGCGCCAGGACATGACGAGGATCCTGTGTAAAGACTTTTGTTTGCAGCTCTCTAGTCGGTCTCAGAAACGACACCGCTGAGCCCTGAGCAAGGTGGTTCGACGTTAACTCGGTGTGTCTACACGAGTGATGCTCGCGCCTTTGATCGCGCTGCAGACGCACTCGGAAGAGGCATTTTATCGGCCGGAATATGGGGTCTGTCGTGTTTTCTCCAGTGGCCTCGAAAGTGGGGTCAATTGGTTTTAGTTGCTGGTCTCATTACTGGCATCTATATTTCTTTCCATGGGGCTGTTTTCTTGAACTGAATGATTTGAAAACACCTCTTTTTAACAGATCCTCCTTGAAATAGAATAACTAGACTTTTTGAAGACGTTCCCTTGGAAAAGAGAAACAAAAGGAAAGGGGCCGGGGCCTTTGGGCAGCGTTTAAAAGGGGATGCGGTGTTCCTTTCTGGCCTATCCAGAACAGTTAGGGCCGCACTTCATGGCATTTCTCTGTGGGTACCATTTTAAGTTTGCTTTATTGCTGCTGCTTCTGATAAGCACTCTCTACATCACAAGGGCCCAGGAGCAAAACGTGTGGGGGAGGCTGCCCTGCAGAACGGTGCTTGAGAGTAGTGTCATCACATGAAACGATGAGCGCAACCGACTGCACGGGCGCTTTCAGATGCACTCGAGACACGAACGAACATACAAATAAGCAGGCCCGGTCCTCTTGACTCACTCATTTGCAATAGGGGTGTCAGACTCATCCTGTGGGCTCGAGGACAAGCACGGAGCCGATCCACGGACTGGAGGAGCAGTGCAAGGCCAGTCCTCGTGCCAGATTGGCTCCTGCATGCAGGAGCGCCGCACACCGTGAATGCCAAACTGGGCCCACGTGCAACATGTGCTAGATCTGGCCCCGCGTGCATGCAGTGTGCAGCGTGCAGTCCAGGTCTGTACACTGCATGCAGCGTGCACTGGATCTGGCCCTGTGCACCACATGCAGCACATGCCAGGTCCGCTGCTGCATTCAGCATGCGTGACACGGCTGTGCAGGGCACATGCTGTATCCAGCCCGTGCACTGCACGCGTCGTGTGGGGCTGGTCCAGCATGTGCCATGTGTGGCATGCGGACCAGACTGATATTCCTTATTTCCAGGGAATTTAAATGTTACTTGTAGTACTAGGAGGGACAAAATGGTCAGACAGAAGTGTGATTTTACCAGGGTCCCTCTTCATAAAAAGTAGATGGAAAAAGACACATTTTCTCCTTGTGCGCCAGTGTCTTGGAAGATGAAGATAAAAAAGTTGAACTTGGTGAACATATAGTAAAACTTGATCACAAGAGAGTTTGACAGTGTTGGATTTGATGCACCGTCTTTCTGCCTAGAAACGTTGAAAAGGGGAATTGATTTCCATTAGCTGTCGTAATGCCTCAGGAGTTACTTTACCACAGGAAAGATAGATCTAGTCATTGACCAGGAGATTGACAAAGAAACAGAAACAAAATCATTTACCTGCATATTTTTGCACTCAGCTTATTTTTGCATCTGCACGGGAGAACAACTGAACGTGCAGTAAGTGGCACCGCAGGCGTGTCTGCAGCGCCACATACTGCATGGCCATGCTCCTCTGGATGTGGCCTAGAAGGTCAAGTGTGGTACTTTTTTGCCATCGATGCTGTCTCTATAAATTTAATCTTATGTGGCTCTTTAAATTTATAGTCTTTAATTATTTTCTCCGCTTCTGTTGGCTACCACAATTCAGTGCAACCTAAAATAGTGTTGCAATGGCAAGATCAGTGAAGTAGTTCTTTGTCCTGTGAATTGTGGATCTTTAAAGCAGGCGTATTCAGCTCAGCCTGCGGGCGAAATCCAGCATGCGGAGCCATGGCATCTGGCCTGCAGGGACTCCCATGGGTTGGAAATTTGGTGGCAATTAGTACTGCCACCCCTGCTCACTGCCAAATTTGCAAGCCCAGTACAGGTGGGTTGGGGCTGGGCCATGCCCCTTTCCACACCGCATGGCCAGGCTGAGGCCAAGCCATGCCTCCTTGCCTGCACCTGGCTGGGTTGGGGCTGGGCTGTGCGCCCACCCCCTGCATGGCTGGATCAGGGCCAGGCTTCCCCAGCCCCCTCCATGCTTATCCAGCCTCCGGACAGACTGGGCACTGTGCGTCCAGCCTGCCGGTTCTAAAGCATAAGTTAGTTTTGTCCACATCCTTAGAAAGGACAGGTATGCAAACTGAAGTAGGTAAAGCAACTTTTTCCTTTAACAGGGCAGAGAATACAACTCAAGCCTTGAATCCCTGTCCACTGCTTTCACACCCATGTCGTTCATGCAGCTCCACTGTGCGGTCACTTGGATGCATCTCACATTGTAAAACAGGCTGGCTTATACTAGAAAAAGTTCTTTTGACCGATAGCCCAACAACCAGATTTGTTCCGGCAACGTTAAGGATTTCCTGCTGACTGGATGAGGTGTTGAGCTCTTGAAATCCCATGCTTCAGTCTGTGGCAGCAAAAGAAAAGTGGTCCTTGTTCAGTTTCTATCTCGGGGCATAACAAGTGGATGATTTGTCTTGTGCTGAACTCCTCTTCCGACTTCATTCAGGCAGATAACACAATTATTTAGGCTGATCAGGGAAAATGGAGGCTACGAGGAACTTAACAAATGTAGAATGGGGAACACGTCGCACGGTGAAATTCAGCATTAATAGAGCATCGTAGTAGAAAGCAGAAGAGATCATTTGATCTGATCATATGCATTGCTGTGGCATAGATTAAATCAGCCGTATCTCCACTTAGGAAAGAGACCTATGCTCTGTCTATACTATGCTGCATCTGAGACTGGAGCATCTGGTAGGAGACCGCACACCCCGGCTCTGCTCCGTGGCCCCCCGGTAGCAGCTGTGCTGGCAGGGGGAAGCTCAAATGGATGTCAGCAGTCAGCTGAAGGCACAGCGGTGTCTTCACATGCCTGCAGCTGGCTACAGGGCAGCAGCAGAAACTTGACTTCATTTGGGAGAGGTGGAGCAACTCTGCAGGTGCTGCTCTCACACAGGGACTTTGAGCGTGCACCCACGCAAACCTCTGTAGTGTAGATCAGGCCCCTAGCATTAGGAAGAATATCTTGGTCCAAAGCATTGCTTGTCATGCATTGCTAAGGTCACTGGGATTTGGTCCCTTAAGTTACTCGAGCACTTTTGAAAATGGGGCTTAGGTCTTAAAAGCCTTAACCAGGGTTTTTACAATCAGAAGGGTGATAAATTGATGCTTCACTGCAAAAGCCACCTGCTAACAGACAGGGATAGGAAGAAACTTCCCCTGAGAGCAGATTATTCTATTATTGACTGGTTGCACCTTCCCCTGAACATCTGCACTGGCCAGTCTCTGAGACAGGAGACTGATCTAGATAGAGCACAATCCCAGCCAGTATAGGAAGGGCAGGCAAGACTGTCCTGGATATATTCCTGATTCCATCCAGGAAGAGCACACACCAGCTGCAGGTGCTTCCTCAGCCTGACCAAGGGTATTTATACCCGAAAGCTTGCAAAGAAGAATTTTTCCAACTATTTGATTTGGTCTAACAAAAGAGATTAGATTTACCCAAAGAACCTTGTTTGCCTGTGTCCTTGGACCAACACAGCTACAGCCTACACCCCTGTCCTGTATATATGCATTTCATATTAGAAGTCAGATTAATGGGTAATACAGGGAATTATGGGGAATAATAACATGGAGGGTTAAAATGTAAGTTTTAGGTTGCTCAGGGAATGAATACACTTTTTAAATGATTTCACCTAGATTAGCCCCAATGTATACTAATTCAGCTTGCTGTTTTTCTTCCAGGCAGCTATAGTGCTATGTCTGGATGTAGGCTTTTCAATGAGCAATTCTGCCCCTGGAGAGGAGTCTCCGTTTGAACAAGCCAAGAAGGTTATGATGAAATTTGTTCGGCGCCAGGTACTTGTGATTTCATTTTACGTGTGGTATGCTTAGATGTGGCACCTGAGTGTGTGAATCTGTGAAGGGAACAGTGAGGCCAAGGCCTACCAGACACTCTTCTTTATTCCTTGGTTATTAAGCAAATGGAAAATAATTACAAGTATTCTCCTTTACTGTTGCATGTGAGTACTAGCCTTTCCCTTGGCAGCAATTACACAAGAACAAACTCAAAATATGCAAGCTAAGACAAGTGACCTTTTTTGACATGGGACGCCCTTTGATGACAGGGGACACTTCCTTTTTAGGCTGGAAGAGGTGTTTCTGCAAAGAATTGCTCTCTCAGCTTATAGTGCTGAAGTAATGCGAAGATTTAGTATTGTATGGGATCACACTGGGAAATGTAGCATCCCATTTTACTCATTTTACCCCAGATATCAGCTAGTCGTCCTATTGCAGCCTGCTGGCCGATTTTAAATCTAAATTAGAGAGCCACATATGTGATTACAGCTGGAAGAGTTGTATATATGGTATCACTGCAAATTGAGCCTGCTCTAACTGATACTCAGCTGCAAAATTTGTATAGCTTGCTGTCTATTAACTATATGTATCTACAAAGCTATGTATATTTTTATATCTTTTTTGGACCTCCTCCATCTCCAGGTGTTCGCCGAGAGCAAAGACGAAGTCTCTGTGGTTTTGTTTGGTACAGATGGTACCGAGAATAACCTTGCCAGTGGGGATCAGTATCGGAACATCACTGTGCAGAGACACCTGATGCTCCCGGATTTTGATTTGCTGGAGGACATAGAAAAAGAGATTCAACCGGGCTCTCAACAAGCTGACTGTATCCTTTCTGGCTGCAGACAATTTCTAACCAGATAAAATTGCATAGGGGACTGGGGGTACGTGTTGTGCAACTGGCCTAGACCTGCTGTTCAAGACATTAAGCTTGTCCAGTTTTGCTGATTTACAAGTTGAAAGTTTGCACAAGGGCCAGATTCCCCCATGAACTGCATTTTAGATTACTTTATGTAGCAATGGGTTTTCATAGCAGCAGCGTGTTGGTCCCAGTGAATTGTCGCTAATAGAAAGTTTAGAGTTAATTAAGTGTTGACCACATTTCTGTATGGTTTCTTTTCCCCTCTTACAGAAGAGAGATACCTTAGGTATCAAATACACTGTCTTTTTAAAGAGATGTTACAAAACCTAATATACCATTTTTTTAATCACGTTAAAACTCTTCAAAAACTTCCCCACAACCAGAAGAGCTAGAAATCAAACACAGAAGCATCTGTGAGGACGTATCGAATAGACTGTTCTTGATTTCTCTGTGAGATGCTTCTTTTGTGAAAAGTTCCCGTTCGGTTCAATCAGCAGAGCTGCTGTTGGTGACAAATGAGGAGTTTTTAAAGCCGGATGCCTACATCTGGTCTTTTAGTGTTTCATTTAAAAGCTCTTTCAGTTTCTCCTCACCCAAAAGAGATTTTTTTTTTAAACTAAAGTCAGATTAGCAGAACAGTTGGAGGAGCCTGCAGCCGGTCAGTTGTGTGTTATCCCAAGTTGGGCATATTCTCCATTTCTTGGGGGTGTAGTGATAAGAATAAGTCCTCAGTGAAAATTTCTTTGCGAAAGCAATTGTGAAGAGGATGTCAGAGACACATTTTCAGGGGCAACCTGCATGAAGAATGTCATTCGTTGAAGCTGCATGCAGTTTTTGTTCCTGGATGTCAAACATAAAGAGGTTACATTCATAGAATCATGGAAGTCGGGTCGAAGGGACCTTGTAGATCTTCAGGTCCGACCCCCCGCCTGGGCGGGAGAAAAGACTAGACTCAAATGACTCCAGCCAAGTAGTCATCAAGCCTCTTCTTAAAGATCCCCAGGGTAGGAGCCAGCACCACTTCCCGTGGAAGTTGGTTCCAGCTCCTAGCCGCCCTAACTGTGAAGTAGTTCTTGCGGATGTCTAATCTAAACCTACTCTCCAATAATTTGTGTCCATTATTCCTTGTTATGCGGGGGGGCGCTAG